CAGTCAAGTTTTTGACGTCACTCCTTCCCAGTCTATTTTGGCCAAGTACGTTACGCGCCCAAAATAGAACCACTTTGAAATGATGTCACGTCCACTTTCAAAACGAAAACAACATGGCGGCTTACAGCAGAAGAAGTGATTTCGATTTCAATCGAAAAACTAACCCGTTTGACGACGACTCCGAGGACGAATTCGAGAAGGTTAACGGAGATGAAATTCGCAGACAAATGCAGATGTCAAGAGATCGAACTCTGGATAGCACAAAGCGATCTTTGGCGCTCATCGAGGAGTCGCATGACATCGCTGTTCGCACCGGCGAAGAACTTCAGTGTCAAGGGGAACAGTTGAATCGGATAGAACGCAATCTCGACGACATACAGAACACCATGGGCATCGCAAAAAGGCACATAAGATCGGTGAATAGTGTTTGGGGCGCTCTTGGGAATTATTTCAAGAAAGCGCCCAAACCAAAAGAGACCACTGAACAGTCGACACCTGACAGTCGTTTATCAGGGATGCAAGAAGACTCTTCTTTGTACTATCGCAGCAGAGAAGGCGAAAGGGAAACTGGTGGCTATGATGCAGGGATCAGAAGAAGTGAGCAGTTTGAGAGAAGCGCATACTCTTCGCGTGACCCGCGCGAGAGAGAAATCGAAGCCAATCTTGATCTGGTGTCGCGAGGTCTTGGCCGTTTGAAGGAAGATGCTTTGATTTTGGGTAACGAGATTGAAAGGCAGAATGAACAGCTGGATAGAGTCGGAGTAAAAGCAGATAAAGCTTATAACACGGTTGAAGAATCAGACAAAAAAGTGAGACGGATCTTGAGAAAATAAACTCAAACAGTTTGATTATGCCATCTGTGTAGATTACAATGAAATTTAATACCTTTTATAAGAATTTGCTGCTGTTCAGACAGAAAAAGGTCTTCATAAAAAAAAAAAAAACTGTAAAACAAGGAGAAAAACAAGCAATAATTTGCCCTGCCGTGTGTTTACAAAATACATACTTTTTAAGAAAGCACATATTACACTTACAACGCAACTACTTGAACTGTGCCACTTAGAAATCTAACCAATCAAAATGTAAACTGAAAACATAGAGTGGGTCTTTTTCGTGAGGTCAAGTGAGGATATAAATTTTATTTACAAAATTTTGCTTGAAAACTCGTTTTGTGACAGCTCAATCAAGGCAATTATTGAAAAGTGCATAAAATTTACAAGTGAAATTAAGCAATTGTAACAAGTGGTAAAATATCCTGAGAGCTGCCACACTCCACTCTTCTCTTGGGTTTCCAGTTTTGTAATAAAACTATTGTTGGTATTCTTCAATGTTAAAGTTTTATACTTTGAGAAAAAGATAGCTATCCTTTGTTCTCAAGAAACATTCCGATTGGTTAACCCCTTTCCAAGAGGTGTGGTTGGCATAGTCACACTGTAATCTGATCATGTGATCTATGCTGGCTTATATCATGTCAAAGTAATTTCTGTACAGATTTGCTTCATGATGTAAGGACATTCAATGTTTGTATCTAAGTCCCAAGCACATCATAAGTCATATTGGTTGGACAGTATGACTGAATGCGACTTCAACCTAGCTAGGCTGGGGCAGATCTAAGGGGGATTGGGGGTCTTCAGTTGAATCCCCTAAATTGAAAAAAACTTGGACGTTATAACACGCTGACTTGGCCTTAGAATGGCTGAATCCCATTTCCACGGACTGTCGTTGGCGATCCGTATCTCAAAGCCCCTTCTCTAAGATCCTGTATCTGCACCAGGTAGGGTTCTAAATAGTCAGTACGTAACTTAGATCATTTTCACAATGGCCTTTGTATTGCTTCCAAACAACTGGAAATTTTGGCATAAGAAAAGAACTTTTATTTCTCATAGAAGATAAGACATTGCTTGAGAATTATATGGTGTTGCCATGATCTCATGTGGAAATGCTTTATAACTTCAGACATTTGGAGTACTGTACATACATCTGAAGTCTTATAAATTTGTAAAAATAAAAAATGCTTGGGGATTTGTCTCCTTAATTTTGAGACCCATAGAACTGACCTGCATAAACGCAACTGAGATCCTATCATAGAAATCAGAGTTCAAGATATAATTTAAAAATACTGTTGCGAATTATACACTGCTAATATATTTTGTTCAAGTTTCTGCTAATATATTTTGTTCAAGTTTAGGTTATAAGTGCAAAGTTACAAGTTAGAGTAGGCGTAACAATTGGAGTTCAGCCCAGAATTTGGTCAAACACACAATTTATCTTCTACAAACTTGAAGACAAAACAGATTTACTAAAGTATGTGTCATTTATAGTCTTGTAAAGTGCAACCACAATATTATTAAAACATTTTTTGTTCATTTGATTTGGTTAACAAAAATTGTTCCCCCCTTCCTTGAGGCCGCATAAAAAGTGTCCTTGCAAGTTAAACAAAGAGCTCTTTCCACGTTTTTTGCCCCTCCTTTATGTTTTTGCCCTTGTACCAATTTATACACAACCAGAATGTGGAAAGACCATTATACAGGAACACTTGCTACGCAGGCTACCCTTTTTAACTACATCTTTATATGGCTAGCTTGGTGGGCAGGCAAGATGTAAAAAATGTAAATGCAAATTTAATGTCAAGCACAGGGAGTGCTTGTGCAATCACCCCAGCCAGAGGCTCATGATAAAGTGCTTGACAATAATCCGGATCGAATTGGAATTTGAAAATGTTGGTTTTAAAGGAGAGGGGAAAGCCGGAGTACCTGAAGAAAAACCTCTCGGAGCAAGGAAGAGACCCAACAACAAACTCAACCCACATATGATGCTGGGTCCGGGAATCGAACCCAGGACACATTGGTGGGAGGCAAGCGCTCTCACCACTGCGCCAACCCTGCTCCCCTGATGATGAAGATGAAACATATCCTGCTCTATGATTGGCTACCTAAGTAGGCAAGATGATGCCACCTTGCCGCTTGATTTAGGCGCTGTATCCCACAAGAAAAATTATCCTCTAAGCTGAGGCAGGTTCATCAATAACCATATAATAAATCATTTATTGACCAAGCTTGTTCGGTCAAGATGGCTGGATATTGGCATAGTTAAGTCTTTTTTGCGTTTATGGGCCTTAACTCTGTCTTGGTCCATAAACATGCAAAAAAAAGAAATTGACTTCACACGGGGCCAAAAACCCATGTAAATTACCCCATCATAATGCAACAGATAAATACACTCCAACAACTTCTTTGAAAAGGCATTATAATTTTAATTTACTGGTACAACTGTACAGGCAGGTATCAAAAATACAAATTAATGTCTATTGTAAATTAAATTGTGTTAAACTCCCAGTGTATGAAGAGGAAGAATAGCGAAATATCCATTCATTCCCTTAACTCCTTCTAGTGTTCACAAATCAGACCTTTTCTTTCTTAAGATTGCTGAGCGTTTGAGTTAATAAAAGCCAAAGAGGTTGAACAAGTGTGAAAGCAAGAAGTTGTGATGTGGGTAAAAAGCAAATTCTACTCCAAGTAATGCAATTTGCATAATTCTGTTGTGTACGTAGAAGATTTTGTCCTTAAATTACATTCATTATACAAACACCACTATTCCAAACAAAGTTATTTTTCTATTATTCCACTTAAATTATTATTTTTTTTAATAATAATACTATAATTCCTCTTCATCTCAAGCCAACCACACAGCTCTTCCCTTGGCTTATCACATATATTTTGAAATCTCTTCTTCATTAAAGATTGCATGAGTGTGACAATAAATCTTTCTAGAAGGTAAAAGTCCTTCATACTTCTCTGCTAAACCAATTTCAACTAAGGACTTTTGGAAACGTTTAACAGATTTTTACTGTCTGTATGACAGCCTTTCTTCTCATGCATAGCCTACTAGCTTAAGTTGTGGATAACCTTTTCAGCCAACCCAACACAATATTGCAAATAATTAATATACGTTAAACCTGGAAAAAAAAGACAAGAGTTGGATAAAAAATCAATTCTGAGGCATGACAATTGTTTTAAAAATTCAAATCTCTATTTTTCTTAAAAAATCTTACTATAAAGTAATTATTACAAAATGCTTTTTAAAACACCATATTTCTAACATTATTCACTGTTAAAATCCAGTGAGTACATTTGATAAAAAAAGTAATCAAACAAACACATTAAAGAATGGAATGAGGCAACAGTGTTAAATACAGTATCCTGAAGTTACATGAAGTACAGTGGAACTTTTAATTAGTGGTTGTAATGTCTTTTTTCTTCTGGCCCAAGTGAACCTTCCAATTCAAGAACCCCTTAACAGTCAAAACAGTTGAAGCATTCCACTTAAAACTAAACAAAATTTTACTTTAGTTTGTTCAGAGTAGTTTTGATTAGAGTTATGATTCAAATTTGGAAAGGTTAACCAAACCATCAGATCTAATCATTCTACAGTCCAGCCTATGTTGGATATGTTTGTCTATTTCAGTACTTTTAAGACATATCATTCATTTAACTTCATTCACTGCCATCAGACTGCCAGACTGATCAAGAGGAAACAATTCCCACAATACAATAGAAGATGGAGCTTTTTCTAAATGGAACTTCATTAAAATCATGCAACAGATATGAATGTAATGAGCCATAAATAAAGAAATTCAAAAATGTTAGCAAATGCACAAAGTACTTGATTCATTTTCCTCCTAACCTCTGACCAACTGCCACTAAATCAAAGTAATACCAGCTTGGTGGGCAGTGGATTTTGACTAAATTAAATAATTAAAGACTTTGCTAAAACATTCATAAAAATTTTATATACAATGGTCATCTGCTGTTCTGGCTTTTCTACAATGTACAGTTCAATGTACCATTGCTTAGTTAGTTAACATCAGATATTTCCTTCTTCTTTGCTGAAACCCCATTTGCTAGCAATATTTGATTGGCATTCATTGTTAAATTTACTGTCAGTAGATTTCTACCTCTGAAAATAATCACACATATGCAGTTTGCTGAGAAGATGACAATAAACATTGTCACATGAACAACCTTGATTTGATCGGACCAACAGAAAGTCCTTCAGCATTATTTTATGATAGACAATTATGTTCACAAAGAGTGTCCATAATATAATAATGTAAATTGCTATTTGAGTGATATCATAATGAAGCAGGTTGTTCTGCAAATTTTTCTCATTCTTGCGCATTGTTCATGATGTACCAAATAGATCTTACTAATTTCTCAGATCCCTATGGTCTAAGCAGACCTACACTGTACGTTTCCCAGAAAAGTTAAGTGTCAATTCTCCTAATCCCTGGCAGTTTGTTGTGATTCCCAGCCAAAAAAGTTTGCTGTCCTCTCATATCAGTATTTATTAGCACGAGCACTTCTTGTACACATCAGAGCCCTTTGAGCTACATGTAATGCTCACATCAGCTAAACCTGTCCATGGTGAAACCATCATAATTGTGTTCATATTAAATAAGGGTTACAGTTAAATGTATTCTGAAAATTCAGAAACAGAGATAGAGAGCTTTAGAGAGCAATTATTGCAGCCTGCAACTTTATACAAAGGCATATGCATTTTCAACTGCCCTGGAATGTCCATGGCTATTAGAAGCACTCGTTGTTATCCTAACAGAGCCGCCTTGTATAGTTGCTGTTCTTGTTATCCTGTTTGCTTGGAGGCTGTGTGAACGTCGCAGCCCTTCTCCACCATTACCCACATGCGCACGTTGTAAGGAGCTCCCAGGCTGAGGTGAACCAGTATTTACATACACCACAAAGTTTGTTAGCATTACGTCAGATGGTCCACCACTTTCCAGGGGGATTGGATTGGCTCGAAAGTGCTCCAGCATTTCAAAAATGCTTTGGAACCAGAGATGTTGAACGCGACATTGGCCTTCTACATTCAGAGCGAGTCTGAGGTGCTGTCAATTTCAAGTGTTTGTACAAAGAAAATAACAGTAAGTAACTTTGTTTTGAAAATGAGAATTAAATTTATCAACCCAGCTAAGGGTAGTTTGAAGTACAAACAAAACATGCTGAAAAAGAGGAGAGGAGTTCNGGGGGGGGGGGAGGTGCCCTCAGCCACTCACCCTGATACCAGTAGATTTGTCACTGGGCACTGTTGCAGAAGCATATCTTGACAGAGAGCAGAATGTGAGGACACCTACAATAGCTACGCTGTAGTGGCTAACTGTTAGCCACGGTCACCTCAGGTGTTTTCAAAATTAAGGGGTTTTAACACATACTGCAAATACACACCTTTGCCCTCCCTTGATAATTAAATGTTAAAACATATTCTCCTCTTCTTGTTTCACTTTGTCTTATAAGGAAAATCCCATGCCATTGTTGGCCTCCCTGAGACACCAGGTGCGAGGCCTCTATCCTGGGCAGTGTTCCATGGAACCATGGGTAATTAGCCAGTGGATGATTTTCAATAGAAGCTGTGACCCATACTGGATTCTCTAAATCAAGAAGAGTGAAAATAAAAAAAAATGTGATGTCAAAACAAAAAGTTAATTCATGTACAATGAACATCTATCCAATATAAGTACACTTAAAGGTTCTCAGATTGTGTTGGAGAGTGAGCTACAGGGGAACGTTTAAAGCTAGTCTCGAAGCAACAGGCATTTTGTTGGCGCTGGTTCCATCCGATAAAGTTGCTTTTGTCACATATATGTAGTTTAAAATTGGTTTCTTCTGACTCAGAGTCAGACAACAGTCTATCAAAATATTCATCAAACTTTCCGCCAGAATATGGCTGTTTCTCACATCTTAGACTATGTAAACAACTTTATGCAAATTTTTGAACCTGCACACTTTGTGAATTGAAACCAAATAATTATTCTACTTTAGTTTTTTAGTTCGTAGCACTTTATGATAATCTTCAAATACGTCTCCCAAAATTGTAACAACTTTCAAAGGTATGTGTCTGGGTAAAAGGTCACAAAAGAAGCCCATTGCAAATAACTTCTAGACATGAATATTGCTTTTCTCCAAAGATATTGCCAGAATGTCCAAACAACTTGTACATGAGAATGTCTCCATCAAGAATAATGAATACCGAACAGAATAACAGTAAATTGATCCTCATTGTGTGGCCACACATAACACTGCCAAAACAGACCAGCATACATATATAATATTATCATAGCTGGGCTAATTTGTAAGGCAGTTATAATTTGACAAACAAAACTGCATGTGTATACATCCACATTTCCAAGAGACTGCTGGCAGTCTGTTACCACCCTTGTCTCGCCTTCTTCCCTACTCGGCCATTGTCATACCACACTTTTGCTCATACCACCATACCGCCCTTTTGCGTTTGTGATGATTGCACGATGACTTAACACTTGTCTAAGTGACCCTTAAAGAAAAAACCAGCAGCCAGCAGTCTATATTTCCCAGCAACCATCAGATTAAAAAGTTTTAGAAAAGGTCTTGATAAGAACAGTACTTGGCACTGCATGTCACATAACACTGATTTTACCTTCACTACTTGATTGTGGTGACCCTTGAGCAGAAATCTGCCGTAGTAGGTCAGGTTGGTTTGGTGGGAGGGGTGGTGCTGAATCTGTGCTAGTGGGTGATCTTGGAGGCAGCTCAGGAGGAGGACGACCACGAGGTAAATCCTCTGCAATACAATCGTAAACAAAATAATTTCGATCTGTAAATTTTATGTGCATGTAACTGATATTCTTTCAAAAGATTTTCAAGTCCAAGAGTGATGGCATAAAATTGACTAAATTTACTAGGATCAATATTATTAATAATACTTGTCAGCTACAATTTGCCAAAAAGAAATTGCATTTAGCCAGTCAAATCTCTACAATGTCCTGATTTCTTGCAATATCAAGAAACTAGCCTCACATTACTTGCGTTCTGGACACAGTAAATGGGTGCAGTAAATGTTTATATAATTTATATACCATCCTGGTACATGAAAGTGTTGCCAGCAAATGTATACGTTGCCAAATTAATGTAAGAAACAAATTGGCTCAACCTCATATGCCACCAACACATGATTAGGTTAAAATAACTGACAATATTGATGGAGCCAAAGTTACAAATTTGCATTCACCCAGCATGCACACTGTATACCCAGTAGCACTGTACAGCTGTAAATTATAACATTAAGATGATACATTTACATTAATATTACACCAGACCTTGAAATGTAGGGGTCTGTGGCCCATGAGAAGAGGAAAAGGATCCTGAAGATCTGTTGTGTATTTGGATTGACGAGGGAGTGTAAACATTCCTTCTTTTTGCTAAATTCGCTACTGCCTCTGTAGATTTCTTATCTGGAAATCAAATGTTAAATGGCGCAGTTATATGTAAGCTCAAAATTGAATATTTTCAACCATTCCACAGTGACAACTTTTTTGTATGGATGATGATGACGATGACGATGACAATGTGGCCTCATTTTGGTGTGAGAGGTTGCCATCTGATGCGATACATTTACCTCACAAGGTCATCTCTAACAAAAGCTGACTAAGTTCTGTCAGTAATAGTGTTGGGGTTGTCTCACAGTTATGTATCAGTCTAATAATCCTTAAATGTGAAATTGAGTAAATTCTGTATGGTATAGTTTTTGGGTTGTGGTAAGAATTTGAATTACCCATGGCAATAAATACAAGTAGACGGTGTCAGCAATCCTTCATCTTCAGAAAATTTGTTGAACGAACACCACCATGACTGCAAGTCCCCCAAACATTGTGATGCCAGCACACATCCCACAACATACTTTTGATAAGAGTAGGTACCTCATGCTCTTTGGTGTCTCCAGGGGCTAAAGGGAACTAGGTTCAATTCATTCCCAGTGCCTGTATATGCCTAACAGGTCCTCGTGCAATAGTAGAAC